AAAAAAAAAAAAAATAAAATAAATAAAGCAATTCCCCCAGTTACCCTTAAATTTTGCTTTTAGTAAACTTTTGTTTCACTTGCCATCTCCGTTGGTCTGTGAATTTGTCGACTTCAAGAAACTGGTTCAACAATTCCAGTATCAGATTTGTTCTTAAGTTGGATTTGTGAGTTTGGACAGGTACATTTACACTTGACCTGTAATGATCTCTGTTTGTAAGTGGGAGTTGTATGTCAGTCAAATGTTTGTAACTTGAGGACTCACTGTAATAGCCTCTGGTCATAAGGGTGAGTTGTTTGTAAGCTGGATGTTTATAACTCGGGGACTGTCTATGGCAGAAGCCCCTTGCTAATCCTCATCTCTTCCCTAGGACCAGGCTGCAGTGTGTGCTGGCAGTTTCTGCTTCCCCACCTGGGACAGCTCAGGCTCCAGAGCCCGTCCACCTAGCCTTGGACCTCAGCTCTGCCTCTTTCTAGCATTCAGACCTTGTGCGATCTTAGCTTTTCTAGGCCTGTTTCTTCATCCCCAGAATGGGGATAGTAATAGAACCTCCTTACCTCAGTTGGCTGATACAGAGTTAGCACCAAGGAAGTGTTACCAAATATAATTCCTTTGCTCCCTGAGTCACAATGATGATAGCAGCATCATTTTTCTTTTTATTTATCTTTATTTCTTCTTTTTTTTAGAGACAGAGTCTCACCCTATCGCCCTCAGTAGCATGCTTGGTGTCACAGCTCACAGCAACCTCCAACTCCTGGGTTTAGGGGATTCTCTCACCTCAGCCTCCTGAGTAGCTGGGACTACAGGCACCTGCCACACACCTGGCTATTTTGGTTATCGTTGTTCTAGTTGTCATTGTTGTTTAGGAGGTCTGGGCCAAACTCGAACCTGCCAGCCCCAGTGTATGTGTCCGGCACCCTAACTGCTGAGCTATGGGCACTGAGCCAATCTTTTCTATTTTCTAATAGAACATCTCTTTTTCCAGTTGAGCTGACAGTCTTACTGTTTCTCCCCAACAAATCTACCTCTGAGGATTTCTACCACTCTGCTGTGTTCTTGTTCTCCTCTGATCTTTGCACAGGCTGCTCCTTCTCCCTGCATTTTTCTCCTTCTTCCTCCTCACTTTCTTTTACCTTTCTTTGCCTTGCTAACTTCTACTCTTCTTTCTTTCTTTTTTTTTTTTTTTTTTTGAGACAGAGCCTCAAGCTGTCCCCCTGGGCAGAGTGCCGTGGCATTACAGCTCACAGCAACCTCCAACT